AGATGGATAGATGTCTGTATATTCTAGATATAAGTCTGTTGGATATAAAATTAATATTTTTTCTGAGCCTGTAGCTTGTGTTTTAATTTTCTTAACGGTATCTTTTCATGAGCAGAAAATTTTAATTTTGATGAAGACCAAGTAATTTTGTGACCCCAGAAATCTTTGGCTACCTCAAAGTTGCCGAGATATTATCCTGTGTTTTCTTCTGGAAGCTGTATAGTATTAGTTATTTTTAGTTTAGGTCAATGACCTATCTCAACTAATATATGTGTGTGGAATGGGGTTCATTTTCTGTATGTTTCTATAGTCGTTAGACCGTTATTTGTTGTAAAGACTTTGCTTTCCCATTGAATTGCCTTAGTGCTTATGTTGAGAATCATTTGGCCATTTAAGTTTGGGTCTCTTCTGGAATCTCTTTTTTTATTCCATTGTCAGTACTACACTGTCTTGATTACTGTGGCATGGAATCAGGTAGTGTAAATCCACCTGTTTTGTTTTCCTTTTTAAGATTGTTTTGGCTATTCTAGGTCCTTTCAGTTTCCAAATAAACTCTGTAATTGACTTGTCAATATCTACTAAAAATCTGGTTGGGGTTTTGATGAAGATTGCATTGTATCTTTAGATCAGATTGAGGGAAAACTAACATCTTAATAATCACGTTGCCTGTTAATAAACACAGTTTAATTCTTCATTTCCAACCTGTCCTTTTCTTTCTTTCTTTGGCCTTTTTGACCTCCAGTAGTATGTAGACTAGAAACATTAAGAGCATTCGGTCTTGCCTCGTTCTTGATGGTAGGGGAAAATGTTCAGTATTTGATCAAGTAAGCAATATAAGCTAGCTGAAGGTTTTTCAGTCAGATTGAAGAAGTTCTTTTCTATATCTAGTTTGCTGAGATTTTTTTAAAAATCAGAAATGAGTGTTGAATTTTGTTAGTGCTTTTTCTGCATTTACTGAGATAATCTTGTGACTTTTATCTCTTGTTTTATTAATATGAATTAAATTGACTTTTTATAAAGTATTAACTATACTCCAGACTTTATTTCCATTTCGTGAGTTTTTCCCGTAATGTCCTCTTTCTGTTTCGGGATCCAGTTGAGGCACTGCATTGTTATGTTTCCTCTGGTCTCTGAGAGTTTGTCAGTCTTGTGTTTCACGACCTTGACAGTCTAAAGAAGTACTGGCCAGACATTCTGTAGAATGGCTTCTAGTCTGGGTTTGTCTGATATTTTTCTCATGATCAGACTGGAGTTATGGATTTTTGGAAAGAATACTGCAGAAGTTAGATGCCTTTCTCATCCCATCATACCACTGGGTACAGGACCTCCCTGGCAATGGTCGTTACCTTACAGATAGTGACTCTGAAAAGTTACCATCTTTCCCTTTCTCTGCTCTATTCTTTGGAAGCAGGTCACTAAATCTAGTCTGCCCAAAGGCGAGGGGAGGGACTTAAGTTTCACCTCTGGAGGAGGGGGGAGTATCTACATACATTTGGAATTGTTCTCTAAGTAAGATTTGTTAAATTGACTGATGTTTGAACTTTAAATCAAACTATGGTTCTGGCTAAGCCTCAGTTGGTCATGATGTATTTTCTTTTTTTATTCTGCTGGATTCCATGTGCTTTTATTTTCTTCAGGAATCTTGTGTCTGTATTCGTGAAGGATATTGGTCTTTAATTCTCTTCTTATAATTTTTGCACAATTTGCTCAATCTTTTCTTTTCTTTTTATGGTGAGGAAGCTTGGCCATGAGCTAACATCCATTGCCAGTCTTCCTCTTTTTGCTGAGGAAGACTGGCCCTGGGCTAACATCCGTGTCCATCTTCCTCTACTTTATATGGGACGCCACCACAGCATGGCTTGATAAGCGGTGTGTAGGTCCGCACCTGGGATCTAAGCCTGCAAACCCTGGGTGGCCGAAGTGGAGCACACAAACTAACCACTATGCAATCGGGCCGGCCCCGGGAAATTTTTTAAAGCAGTGTTCTCTGTAGTTTTCTTTTTGTCTTTCCCCCCTGTTTCAGAGAACAATCTGATTTTTTTTTTCTTGGATTTGGGATAGAATATTGAATTTTCTTTGAGAACACTGAGATCACGGGTTCATTTCAGAATTAGCTAGAGAACTTAAAAAAAATATACAAGTCTGAGTCTTGTTCCCCCTGAGAATTTCTAATTTTTTATGTATATGTAAGATTTCAGTGAACTTGTCTATTTTTAAAGAACTTGAATGTTGGTTTTCATATGCACCCTCTGTTAAGAATTACATCTTTCAGGTTTTCAAGATAATTAAGTAGCTAAAAATCAAATTTTTGAGTGTTTTTGCCAATGTCTATAATGAAATCAAAGATTTACGTACATATTTAAATTCTTGCACAATGTAATCTTAGGATAGTTTGATTTTCATATCGTTAGCCAACACTGCCCTTGAATGGAATTTCACTTGTGAATGGAATACTAGATAATATTTGTTAAAAACTGTGGAGAAAGTCAACATTTTGGCAGGTAGGTTAGTTAATTCAGTAAACCATACCGCCGAAAGAGATGCATGTTTTTTTTTTTTTCCTTTCTTGAGCCCAGTGTTTAGATGAGATAGTAGCTAGTAGCTGAAGGAGTGAGTCTAGCTTTGTGAATGTTGTCAGGTGGCCTACACTCGAGGCACCAAAGGCCCGGCCACACTTCATTTTCAATTCAGGGCTTGCATAATCCTTGATGTAGCTTAAGACTTGACCCCAAGACTTCGACAGGAAGTTTGCATTCTAGGACGTTCCATTGCTCAAAAAACTACCTTATGCTATCCTTTTGTAGTCATATCCTCCCTCCATTTCTAGCTACTGGCAACCAGTATAGTTTTGTCTGTTGGAGAAAGTCATAATAAATGAAATCGTTACAGTATATCATCTTTCGAGATTGACTTCTTGCACTCAGCATGATGCCTTTGCGATTTCATCCCAGTTATGTCAACAGTTCATTCCTTTTTATTGCTAAAGAGCATTCCATGGTTTGGATGGACCACAGTTTATATATCCATTCACTTATTGTTTCCATTTTTGGTGATCCACAAGAGAGTTGTAAACATTTTCCTACAGGTTTTTATGTGAACATAAATTACCATTTCTCTTGGATAAATATCTAGGAATGGGATTGCTGGGTCAGAGACTCGATTTGGTGGTTTGTTTCTGATGAGCTGTAGTATTTGTTTCAGACAAAGAATTTTCAACTCAGCTTTGTACTCTTTAGATTTCTTAGATGGAGATTTGGATGCAGAATAAACTGTATTAGTTTCTGTACTGTCATGTTTTACATTAAGCTTGTTTGGAAAGTCTTTGAACTGTAATTACTGTTAATGGTTGAATTAGAAATGACTGTTGTAATAGAATCTTTGCCTTATTGGTAGTCATTTCTTTTCCTCCTCTGTGGCATTGCTACTCAAAGTGTGGTCTGTGGACCAGCGTGTTGGCTTTCCCTGAAGCTTGTTAGAAATGCAGAATCTCGAGCCCCACCCTAGACCTGTGGAATCAGACTCTGCATTTTAACAGGATTCTCAGTGATTGGTATAAACATTAAATTTGAGAAGCACTGCTCTGGAGCATTATGGAAGTGGAGAAGAGAACTTTGTAAACGAGTTTACCTTTGTCCCATTTGAGTGTAGTGTAGCACAAACCTAGCTGCGTCCATCTCATGTCACTCATTTTGGTTTCAGATACTCAATAAGATGGAAATAATGGTATCAAACCAACAAAATGCCAGGACTTTGGTACTTTAAAATTCTATAGTATACTGAATATCAGAATACTGAAAGGTGGTTTGCAATCTATTAGGCTTAAAATAAAGTTTACATTCATCATTTTATTATCAGGCATTTGAACTCCTGAAGACGGGTCTCTATTTGTAGGATTTATAGCAATGAATATGTGTATTTATAGTTGATCTTTTTTCACAGAAAACGTTCGGGAAAGAATACTACTCGATTATATTGTTGGCTTATTTTCATCTTTTTCTTGTGCGTTTACTAATGAAGTAGTTCATTTTGTTTCTATTAAGAGTAAAGAACATTTAAAAATTACGAATCGTGAGAATAAAGGGGAAAAATATCTTTTCTTTAAGTTTTCAAAAAGTATTTAAATGAAGCTAGCACTCAGTAGGTACCTATATGTAACAGTAGGTCACAAGGACCTAATATGAAGTGAAAAGTGATTAGTGTCAAAAGGAACATGCGTGATACCATAAGAATGTTGATGAAGCAATTACTTTTAGTTTGGAACTAGATTAGGCAAAATTTTTGTGGGAAACCTGATATAAAATATAAGATAAAAGCTGTTTTTAATGTGAAGAGGTGACTGAAGAGAAAAAACAGTTTTGCTATTTCAATAGTCTGAGCAAGAGGTGGTGATGAGCGAACTCTAGACAGTGGAATGAAGTAGAAAGGGGTAAGCGTGATGAAGGAAAGATTTTGGAGGCTGAAAAAAAAACAAACCAACCCAAGAGCAGACTTGGAGCGCTTGCCTGGCAGTGAAAGTCAAAGCAGAGGGGTGAGGGATTACAGGAAGTATCGAGCCTGTGTGGCGGGAAGGAGTGTGCTGTCATCTAATGTAAGTTACAAGGTGGGTTATATGTTAATAAGCTCATGGAACTCGAGTGTTAGTTTAATATTTTGAATGATGCTGGAGTCTGGATGAGACTGAAGGCTAGTAGGGATTTTTGGAGTTCATGTTTGTTGTCTTGGAAGTATAAGTAGCAACAACGTATAGGACTTTGTATATTAACTACAAGCAGGAATTTGGACTTTTTCTAACATTAAGTTAATTTTTAATGTTGGAGATTATTTTCTCCTGGAATCAGTTTAGTGTCTCACATGGCCTTATAATAGGACATTTTGCAGTATTTTTATATGTTAAATATAAAGAACTTATATTTATATATTTTAATCATTTTTCAATATTTAATTTAAAAGAATGTGAGCTCACTTTCCCTCCCTTTTTGTTTTGTATTTCTGCAATGTAGGGAGGTATGGAAACTTTGGAACTGCAGAAGGACATAAAAGAAGAATCAGATGAAGAAGATGATGATGATGAAGAATCTGGACGATTACGTTTCAAAACTGAAAGGAAAGAAGGAACAATTATTAGGCTCTCAGATGTAACTAGAGAAAGAAGGAACATTCCAGAAACTTTGGGTAACTTTTTTTGCCTGTCTCCCATCCTTCTTCACTCCCATTTCAACTTCTTCCATAGTACGGTTATGATCAATCAAATAGGTAAAAAAAAGTTGACTTTATAGATATTATGCATGCCATCCAGAGGGTGAATGGTCTGTGTGAGGTTAGAGTTATGGTGCTGTAAGAGTCATTCTATAAAAATGACTGTCTTCTGAATTAAAAATATTTGAATAAAATATTTGATTGTTTGTTTTTTTAATAGTTTTCATCTGGAGTCAATGGCCTAGACCTACTCTTCTGCATACCTTGTGGTTCCTGGCTGTCTCTGGGAAGGTGGCATGGGGATGGTACAGGGCCATTTGACTCTTCCTGAGACCTGGAAGGTTGCCAGGGCTAATTCTGTACCAGACTACTTTTATTTTGTACCTTTTGGTGACATTATAACCATCTTTTCTGTGTTTTCTTCTTCTATATTCCATTTCTGAGTGTTTAATGAGACAAGGTGACTGCTTTTATAGACATAATCAATTGAACGTTTTGAGCAAGCCCTGCTATTCAAGATCTACAGCAGGCTGTTGCTGATCAACAGAGAGTCTTTTTCAGTGTTGACCCTACCCTCTCTGTATGTTTTTTCCCAGTGTCCATTGCAAAGAATAAAGCAAGGGTTCTCAAATTTGAGTGAGCAACAGAATCACTCAGAAGGCTTGTTAAAACACAGATTCCTGGACCTACTCCCAGCTCTTCTGATTCAGTAGGTTTAGGGTGGAGCCCAAGAAAGTTGCATTTGTGATGAGTTCCCAGGTGATGCTGCTCCTGCTCCTCTGGAACCTGTACTTTAAGAACCACTGGACTATTGTAGCTTAAATCCAGAGAGGAAGGTGGGAGGGTGGAAGGACAGAGGGTTGTACCTGCTCTCTGGTCTTGGTCAAAGTAAAAATCAAGAAATTACCTTTATTGCTTCTTAAAATCGTTATTTATAGCCATTTTCAGTCAGAAACATGAGCATATATCTTTTAAGTGGCAGATATGAATTCTGTGTGAGGACACTAAGCTACCAAAATGCACCAGTTAACAGTACAGTCATGCGCCACATAGTGACGTTTTGGGCAACCACAAACCACAGATACAGCGGTCCTGTAAGTGGGACCATAAGATTAGTGGCATATAGCGTAGGCATGAAGTAGGCTGCGCTGTCTAGGTTTGTGTAAGGACACACTATGATGTTCGCACAAGGACGAAATCACCTAACGATGCCTTTCTCAGAACGTATCCCCATCATAGGTGACACATGACTGTAGTGAGCCAGTCCATCATGTTACTTTACTAAGTGAAATTTATAGAGATTGTTTTAGAATCTTAGCATTCTTACTTCTTCCCCCTCCAATTTCCTCCTCTACCTTTTGGGTCAAGATTTCCCTAGGCTTTTCTCAAGTTATGGTATAAAGTTACCAGTTGGTCTGAACCAAGACAGTGTAAGTTTCTAAGAAAGGATCTGAAGTGGACCTTGGGTAAAAGGAGATGAAGCAGCAGTCTTAAAACAGGAGGATGAGAAAAAACAGAAGTATCCTTCAGTAGGAGGGATTGGTAACATTACAGAACAAGCTGACTGGAGCAGACTTCTCAGTCTCGGGCTGGAATAAGAACAAGGGAAAGATGGCACCCCTGGCTGAACACCAGAGGGCAGTGGGCAGCGGCTTATTAGAGAATTGGCATAGGGCTTTCCCAAGCCAGGGTAGGTGCCACATGGGGTTGTGGGTGGTGAATTATCACTTTTCTGCTTTTTTGTAGTCATGGTGGCTTTGTTACATAAATTGGGGAAACTGACATATCAAATCATAATAACTGGGATAGCTACAAGTTTTAAGGATGTGAAATCACTTGACAGTCACCATTAGGAATGGGGGCCTTTCTCCTCTGCATCCAGCTCCGTATAAGCCACTCTGGATTTTGTGAGTCACCCTCCCCTGACCCTCGATGGCTCTGCCTCTGTCCACCCACTGGTCCTCAGCTAAGGTCATCTCGTCTCAGTTCGTTTTACCTCAGCCCAAGCACTGACAACGTGTTCTGAAATGTCCAGCCTGCCTGTGTTCATAATTTGTGTTTGTTTCATTCCTGCATCTCTTTCTTTTCAAGACTTTTACCTCATTTCATTCTTTTCAGGGTCATTTCTACTTCCTTTATTAAAGTACTTGTGTCAAATCTTCTTTTTTTTTCTCTTTTCAAGGCATCTGGCAGCTTTATAGTCATGTTATCCTGAGACAAGAGGCTGGAAGGGGTTAGTGGTGGGCAAGTTGGCTCCTTTAAATATGGGGGGAGAGGGCCTGGGGTCTTTAGAGGCAGAGTAGTGGCTGTAAGCATAAACAATTTGATCATTCACCATTCTTTTAAATATTAAAAAAAAGGATTTGTGCAGAATGTGATTGTTTTGCTAGATACTAGGGGAAGTGAAAATGGTGCTTAAAATTATCTTTCTCTGCTCCATATTTGTGAGGCCTAACCTAAGAAAGCTTAGTGTTTGGAAACATTAGTTTTCTAGTAACTGAAAAGTTAGGATTATTCCTAGTACAAAAAGGATTTTTCTTAAAGATTGGTTTCCTAAAACAGTGAGCTCCCTTATTACCTTGACACCCCCACTCCCAACAAAAGGTTAATTTTATATATAAGAAAAATATTTATTGAGTGAGAAGCTGCCACAGTATTTGGTAAACTAGAAATTTGTATGGGTTTTTACTCATCAGTTTATTTGTGTGCTCCTGGTGATAGAAATACCAGTGTCAGGTTCTGTATAGAAGTACTTGCATTTATTTGATTGTATAAAGCTGTTTACCTACTCTTTGTAATGAGATTAAAATATCTTGCTACCAGAGTACGTATGTTGTCTCATATGATATGTATTTCTTGACAAATGATGTCTTTTAACTTTTTGAATACAAATAAAAACAATTACTTTGTGATATCATTGATTAATGTTGAGAACACTTCATTCTTGAGAAGAATGAAATAATGCTCCAGCATGCTCTGTTTCTGACCCTTTAGTCTGCGTGTGCAATAGTGAGTTCTCTTCACAATCTAGAAGGGCGTTTTGGTCACTTTTAGTCTTTTTTCACATTCAAATATATGATGTCATCCTTAAATATGAAGAACACGAAGTATATGCTGGTCTTGACAGTTACGAAGCCTAGTACACAGTTGCTGATTTGTATTTTGAATTCAGATTAGATTAGAAGTAGAATTTTGAGCTTTCATCTAGGTTAAGATCTTAAGTAGTGAGCTTTTTTCCTTAACCAGGATTTTGGGAATTAAACCTCATAGGTAATGTGACTGTTTCTCAGTTTTCCCAAGGATGGTAGAAAACTACATACTTAGGAGATAAATTCATTCATTACATGCAAAGGATGCCTAAGAGGAAAAGGGCTTAATTCTCTCACAGAACCCAGTTGAGAAGGGTTTCTAGAACTTACATGTGTAAGGGAATGATTTATTTTGAGTGGAAATTTCAAAAGCCATCTCTAAAAAGTGGGTATCATTTACCAGCGCAGAGATTCAGAGCTACCAGTTCTTTTACTCTAGGAGGTGGACCTCAGATTCTCTTTGAAAGCAATACAAGCAATAAATGGAAGACTACATTTATTTTAATTAGACATTTTTACTTATTATCTATGGGTAGGTATCTAGATTTTACGATATCCTAAGTTTCATTGGCACATGTAATATGTTAAATTTTATTTTATTGCTTTAGCCTAAAGAACATTCTTAATTATGCCCACATAATGTTTTCTTGAAATATCTTAATTTTGTTTAACGTAAGGGATCTGTGGGAAAACTGTTTTCATCTAGTAATAAACAGTTCAAGATTGCTAGTGCCAGCAGTAGGCTCCTACTGCCCTAAGTGTACACAGCGGTCCTTGTATTTGCAAGGTTTTTACAAATTTCTTGATTCAGTTATCTTGTAAAAAACTCATTTGTTATTTTTATTTTTCCAAATAAACTGTTTTCTATAAATATTCTTTATGTATTAGTCCAACTATTATAAAATTATTTATATGCAAATGTTTTTCTTAAGCACATTTTAGAAAGGGACAATACAGCGTAAAACTTAGTTACATTGAACCATATATCTTTACTTTAGAATATGGCCATAGTTCAGAAAACACTTAAAGGGAAATTAACATTTCAGTTGAAGTTACAAATGTAATTTCCATCCTGTCATATTTTGGTGACCTTTTCTGACAGCTTGTCTCAATTGGAGGAAAGCATTTTTCCTTGCTGATTAAAGATGTCATTTGAAACCATTTTATTACTGGTGTTAGTGAAATTAATCTTGACACTTAGAACCACTAGAAAAATAATTGCTGATTCACTGCATAAAATGTGTATGTGAACCAGTCATGTCATCAAGATTAGAATAAAAGTCTGTACTTGTTAAGAAGAGATTAAATTTTCTTTTGAATGGGGTCTAGATTTATTTGAAAGGGAGGAGAATACCATAGAAACAATTTTAAGAAAATGAAGTGTGGCTTAGAGATTTTGGAAGAGTTTGGAGATGATTATGGAATCCAAGGGAGGAGATAAACTGGTGATACTTAAAATTTACCCTTCACTGTGGAAGAAGGCATACGAATCTTTGTCAGTAGAATTCAATGAAATCTTTAGGAGGTAAACATTTATTAATATAAGAAGTGTTATTACAGCTTAGATAATAATTTAAAATAAAGGAACTCTATTTGAATAAGTCAGGTTTATTCTTTTAGGAATTTAGAATAATGTGCCAACTAAAGTTTCTTAGCTCCAGAGTCCGTATTTTTTGTATCCCTAAAGCACTGGTCAGAGGTGAGCACCTACTGGGTGTCCCACAAATGTTTGCATTAATAGGCTTTTTCTTATGTGACTTTGCTCTCATTTGATATGGCTTCCGTATCAGACTGCATGAATATAAATCTTTCTTCACAGAGTAAAGTTTTTTTTAATCTGAAAATTTGAGATGATAGTAGTATTAAATGAGTTTTCCATTCTTTATGGAATTTTGTGATTTCATTCATAGTTTTGTTTTTAAATGAGAACAATCAGGAATTTGTTTTTTTTTTTTAGTCTCTGTGCCACTGTGCATTAATAACACTTCAACTGGTTTCACTAAGAAAATTATACTGGTGTAAGACTGGTGGAGCTGGGTCCTGACCTGTGTCATCTCCTGTCAGTGAAAGAGAAAATGATTGCAAAGTGCCTAGCAGCTCAAGGCTGGTGGTTAAATTGAACTTCAGCCCCTTATTAGCTTCCCTTAGCGTATTTTAGTGGTCTCAAATGAAAGTGCTTTAAAGTTTACAGGAGATACTTGTATTTTATTACAAGGGGAAAGCATGTCTTCATGTACCAGGTCTCACTAATGGGTTGTGAGTGTTGCTGAGTGTATCCTACTTGCTACTGCTAGTTTAGTTATTTATTGTGGGTGAAGCACTTGGTGTTCCAGAGTTTCATTGTCATGTGTTTCTTTCCTGTTTTCTCCCTGTCAATCTAGTTTAGGCTATTTGAAGGTGTCTAACACATGTGCATCTTTTCAAATAGAGCTTTCAGCAGAAGCCAAAGCTGCGTTGCTTGAATTTGAAGAAAGAGAGCGACAGCATAAGCAGGGACGCTATGGTTCAAGGCGGGGAGGAAGGCGAGGAGGCTCTTTAATGTGTCGTGGAATGGGAGACCAGAGAAGAGAGAACAGTGAGCGGGGAAGAATGAAAGACCACAGACCTGCTCTGCTTCCGACACAGCCTCCCGTGGTGGTAATGTTTACACTTTTATTGTGATAGCCAAAAACTTTTGAACAAATGGAAAATTTTTAAATTTAGCCCTTTAGGATTCAGGTAGTAAAAAATAATTCTGTATGCAACTACTTAGTGAAGAAAGAAGTACCAAAAGACCTGATGTCCTCAACTGACAAGAATCACAGAGGAATCTTGCTTTTATCTTCTGCTTGTAGAGAAGTGCACCAACTTAAAATACTGAATTTAGTACGTATAGAATCTAGGCAGTATTGTTTATTTTATAAAAATATTTTTTCCTTTGTACTATTTACCATAAGTTTTTCCTTAAATATAGCAGTTACTCTTAGAGTATCATATCCAAAAAAATTTTTCATAATTTAGGAATAAATCATATACTTATAATTTCAACTTAATTTCAATTTTATCTGTATTTCAAAGACAAGATATCTCAGAAGTAAAGACAAGAATTGTAGTGAATTTTTTTTTAGTTAGCTTTAGGATTTTATGGCTTTTTCTTTCAGAATTCAGTCTTCAAGGAGAAATTTATTTAATACAAATATATGTCAACTCTGTCTACCACATGCCCCTACTACACTTTTATCTGAATTTAGGGGAAACCACACTTTGCCTCTGTGTAGAAATGTTATATTTTAGGAGGCATTCATTTGTGAAATAACAAAAGTAGAAAAGACGACTTACTGTTTTAGCATGAGAATTCCAATTTTACTGTAAAGGAAGGGAAGAGAAGTAAGTGAGTTGATTACAGCATAAAGAAGTTGATGAAATTAATAACTGCCATTTGCTCGTACAGTTGTTTTGTTTTTAATTCTCGAATAGCACAAAGGCTAGACCTTAGTTTCTGCGTTTTCTTCCCTGTCCTTTATCCTTGCCCCCACTTGCCATATATTGAACAGCCAATCCAGTTATTTGGACCTCCTGTGGGGAAACAACCAAACAGGAGACCTGTTTTTGTATACTTGCGTCTCCATGATCCTGGAAAAGTGATTAACTCCCTGTTTTCTTATTCATAAGGAGACGAAGTACTCTATGCCTAGCTTGCCTCCTTTAGAGGAGCTCAACTGAGAGGATATGTGAACCCTTTTAAAAGGTTACCCAAGTGTAAGTTGACCTGAGTCCCTCCCTCTGCAATTCTGATGACTGATGTGGATCCTAGAGCTCACTGTGAATTGGGAATAAATCCATAGCTGAGCTGAGTCATCCTAATGGGGCTTTGGACTGTGAGCTCAACACTCATCCTTGCTAGTCAGTAGTGTTTTAAAATTGTAGTTTACTGAAAAGACTGAAGCAATCTGAAATGAACTCAACCTCACTTCCACCTGTATCCACCCTCAAATCACAAATACTCTTGATCCCAGTCACTCCCCACCCGAGAGCTGTCTGTCTCCTTGACTCTTCACCACCAAAGTTTTAGAGAGAATATTCTTTGCTCATGTCTTTGCTTCCGTCCATTTTCTACTTGGTTAGTCCCTTGCTGCCTGGACTTCGTTCTTCTCACTCTCCTGAATGTGCTCTCAGAATCGCCACCTCACCTTTCTCACTCCTTCCTGTTGGACCATGCCCTGGGGCCCTGGTCATCACTGATGAGCTCCTCTTTGTTGAATCTCTCTTATTTGGGGGCGCACTCTATCTTCTAGCAGTGTGTCTTCTCTCCTTTTTTTTAGCTACATTGTTCTCAGTCCTCTTGTTAGAGCTCTCTCTTCCTCGGCAGCATTGTCCTTGCTACCATCTGCCATCTCTGCGCGAATCTCTCTCCAGCCCAAACCTCTTGCTAGCTCTAAGTTTCTCTGGTTCCTAGCTGCCCTGTACCTCTCCACATGGGTGTCTCGAAGGCCCTAAACTCCGTTTGTTTAAAACGTGATTCTCTTAAAAGTCCTGTATGCTCTTGAGTGAATGACCCTGCGTTGTGCTCATTCTCAGTTCACTTCAGATTGAACTCAGATGTCCCTGTCAGTTAATGTGCTGTCCATGGGGATTCAGTGGTGAACAAGATAGACAAGATCCCCACTCTCGTGTGCAGATGTGTACTTCACAAACATCATGAATTAGAGGAGGGAACATGCTGTATTCTGGGAGCATGATTAGCTGGGGATTTAAGCTAGACTGGAATCTTTGAAAAAGTCCTCCCTGAGGAAGGATAGGTAAGTCAAGGCCATATACAGTTTGGTTTCAAAATTCTCATTGTTCCTCTGAAATGTCTCCTTCCTATTGTTCTTCATCAGACCGTGGCCATTTCTTCCATTCAGTTCTTGCAATGGCCTGTTAAATGGTCTGTCTTCTTCCATCTTCTTTACCGTCGTCCATCTCACATACTATTAGTGATAATCTTCCTGTCAAGTCATCATCAATGATTTCTCATCATATACGTTGTATATGGCGTAATAACAGATCCGTCACTTGGAATTCAAAAGCCTCCATCATTTGGCGTCATCCCAGGCAAAACAGCTTGTGTTACACGGCTCAGTAGTAGTGTTCTGCCTCTTCTGTGAAGTGTGGCTAGTTTGATTAGTGGTTATAAGCAGACTTGTGGAATCAGGTTCTCTGAATTCCATTCCAGCTCTTCTGCTTCCCAGCTACCTGGTCTTGTAAAAGGAAGTAATGATAAGGACCCACTTCACAGGACTGTTAGGAGTCGGTCAGTTACTTCATATACCGGCCTGTCATTAGGTGCTTAAAATGCAGGCTGGGCTCAGTGCTTGGCAGCTTTTGCTGCTGTTGTTGGTTTCCTCCTCACAGAACAACCTCCAGATCCTTGACCTCTTTGAGTGTGTATTTTCACACCCTTGCCTGCCTCCGTCTTCTTTTTACAAGGCTGTAGCCACACTGGTCTCCCTCTCATCTACCCAGCAGGTGTGTCTTTCTGCTTCTCTGCTTCTTCCAGTTATTCCATTACTCGCACTGCAGGGCACATCGCTTTCCTCCTTCCCAGTTCGGATGCCGCCCTGTCAGGCGCTTTCTCCCAGCCCCTCGGGGCATTTAAGCTCTTTGTAGCCCTTTGTCCTTTTCTGAAGCCTCCTTTCCAGTAGGGTTGCTTGTGCACAGCTCTGTCTTTTTGATAAGGTTTTCTGGAGGAGGAGGAGCAGGACTGACTGTGCAGAGAGGGCTGAGAGCAGCTTATGTTGTGTCCTCAGCGCAGCGCTTGGCTCCTTGTGGGCAGTTTTGTTGGTTGAACTGTAGTATTTTCTTTTGGAATCCGTGCAAAGTGGTTGGGGTTGCCATTTTCCTCCTTGCCCTGAGATTGCCTCACGTTGTGAGACAGTAGCCTTCGCTGTGAACCGGCGGAGCAGCTTATTTATCCTGCTGTTTTATACAAGTTTTTTTCTTTTTTTGTGAGGAAGATCAGCCGTGAGCTAACATCCATGCCAATCCTTCTCTTTTTCCTGAGGAAGACTGGCCCTGAGCTATAACATCTATTGCCAATCCTCCTCCTTTTTTCCCCCTTTTTCTCCCCAAAGCCCCAGCAGATAGTTGTATGTCATAGTTGCACATCCTTCTAGATGCTTGTATGTGGGACGCGGCCTCAGCATGGCTGGACAAGCGGTGCGTCGGTGCACACCCGGGATCCGAACCCGGGCTGCCAGTAGCGGAGCGCACACACTTAACCGCTACGCCACGGGGCCGGCCCCTATACAAGTTGTTAACTATGAATTTGTTTCTAAGTCATAACTTTTACAGTGTAATCAGTGTAAATCCATAACGCATCAGCATTCTTTTACTTTTCTTTTAAATACTGATTTCTATCAATTTGTCTTTTTTTGTGGTTTGTAGACACACTCTCCAAGATTAATTCCTCCTCCACAGCCTCAGCCTCCGCCTCCGCCTCCGCCGCCACCGCCTCAGCAGCAGCCAATTAGAAGTCTGTTCCAGCAGCAGCAGCTGCAGCCTCTGCTTCCCCTACAGCACCCGCACCACCCTTCCCCTCCTCAAGGAATGCACATGCCGCCCCAGCTAGAGGCCCCGAGGGTGATGATGACGCCTCCCCCCGTGACCCCACAGCAGCCCAAGAACATACACATAAATCCCCACTTCAAAGGGGCGGTGGTGACGCCCGTTCAAGGTACGTGTCTCCTTTGCTGTTGTAAAGTTACGAGTTACTGTGCCTTGATCGCTGAAGTGTCACTGTGGTCGATAGTTGTCACGGTCACGTCTGTAAGGGTGACTTGGCTTCCTTGATTCCTTCCCCACCCACTTAGACTCGTGCTAGCTTGATGGGCCAAGCTCATTTGCTTAAAAATGTATATCTTTTGTTTTATAATTTAGTGGAAGGTACTGAGAAAACGTTCTAAATTTAAAGGGCATTAGAGGTAATTGTGGAAGTGTCTGAGTTGGGATTCTTCGTCAGTTCCCTGGAGAGAATGCTTGCATGGTGAGTGTTCCCCTCAGCTTCTTCTTGGCGTGCTCCCCTTGAGTCCTGGTGCTAGCTGTAGGGGGGCACAAACCCATCTTTTAGTTATTAATTCTAAGGGGATAACCTGTTGTGTTATTATTGCAGACACATGTTCCTGAAGCTAGGAAACTGGTTTTGAGCTGTTGATATGGAGCATATCTTCATGCATCTGTTCAGCACACGTTGATTGCGATACTGCTGTCTTTCTGGCATCTGAAATACGTTGGTGAACAAAAACAATGCTTTTTGCATTCACAGTCTTGCTTTCTAGCAGACAGAGCTAGTCAGTGAGCAATAAACATAATCAATAAGAATGTTATGTGGCATGTTAGAGGATGAAAATGCAGGGACAGACATAGAGCAGAGGAAGGGACAAGGGTAGGCTTCGTTGCGAAGGTAAAAGTTGATGGTCAGGGAGCGAGGGATGTGACTTTCAGAGGACAGTGCTCCAGGCAGAGGGGTCAGCAAGTGTAGTGGTCTTACTTCAGGTGAGACCATGCCATCTGTGTTCGGGTAACCACCAGGAGACGACGTGCTGTTAGTGAAGTAGTGAAAGCAGAGAAGAGACATAGGACACGGGTTGAGACCTGTGAGCTGTTCTAAGAGCTCGGCTTTTACTCTGAGTGAAATGGGCCGCCATTAAGGGATCTGAGCGGAGGAATGATGTGCTGTGGTTTAGGTTTTAAAAGGATCATTCTTGCTGCCGTGTTGGGAGTGGGCTGTAGGGTGGTAGGGGTGGAAGCCAGGCGTTCAGCTAGGAGGTGACTATGGTAATCCAGGTAACAAGTGACAGTGGCTCAGCTCAGGGTGCTAGCAGCCATAGTGAAAAGTGGTCAGATGCTGGATATAATTCAGGACAGAGCCAGTAGGATTTGGTGATTCACTGGGTGAGAGAGAGAGAGAGAGAGAGGAGGCAAAAGTGAGCCTGGGGAGCCTGAGCATTTGAGGGATGGAGTTGCATTACCTGAGATGGGGGAGAGCAGGTTTTAAGGGGAAAGACCAAAAGTTCTGCTCTAGATGTGTTAAATTTGAGATACCAATAAGACATGCAGGTGGAGGTGTCAAGTATGCAGTTAATAAGAGTTCAGACGAGGGGTCTGGGCTTTAATACAAGTTGGGGGGTTGTTGGCACATAGATGGATCTAGAGCCGGCACCCAGTGAGAGACCCAGAGAAGGGATGTCGATATGTTGGGGGAGACTGAGGCCTGGAACCTGGGGCAGTGGATATGAGAGGTGGGGGTCTGCAGGGCGGAGGGCAGGAGGAACCTGAGTGTGTAGACGACGAGGAGCAGAGGAGAAAATGGCCACCGAGGGCCAGCCAGGAGGCCTGCTGACGGGTCAGTGGAGAGTGGACTGCAGGCTGAGGCTGCACTCAGCAGTAGGGGGTCAGGATTTTGACGAGGTGGTTTTAGTGAAGTGGAAGAGGTCCATGCCTCACTGAGGTGCGTTTGAGAGGGAATGGGGGGCACAGAAGTAGGAGATCAGTGTATTGACAGTCTTTGAAGGTGTTTTGCTAAAACAGAAGTTGGATGATAATTGGTAGGAGGAAGTGGGCTTGAAAGCAAGTTTTTTATTTAAAAATGAGAAACTTAGCAGCTAGTTGAAAAGGAAAAAAATCACTAATGCTGGTGAAGGGGAAAACTTATCCCTGGTACTGGGATCCAGTACCCGGTGGCAGGGATGTGATGATGGAGCGGCACAGAAGGGTCTTGTACAGATGCTGGGGCAGCAGAAGGCCGGGTGGAGATGCTGAGAGTGGGTGGGTATAGTAGGTGGAGGAGTCTTATTAAGTTCTTTCCTGATATGAGTCGTAAGCAGCTAAGAGGGAGGAGGTAGGAGGAAATGTTGAAGATCTGAGGAGGGGAGAGAAGTTATGAAGTCTTTCTCTAGGAGAGGAGAGAGGGAGATAGAAGGGGTACTGGGCAGCACTGAAGCTCACTCAAGCCGTGTGGTCATGAACTTAAGAGTCAGACCAGTCATCGTGTGGTTGTGCATTTTTCTCCAGCCATGTTCACCTTTCTGTGTCAGATGTGGCATAGACAGAGAGTTGGATTTGCTAGAATCAAGGTGTTGACAGAGCAATAGAGGGGCAGCAATGCTTATAACAATGGACCGTGGAGTGTCAGGTGATAAGGGGCCAGGAGATAGTGGAAAGGAGGTCATTGGAGATCTCTGTAGAGTCTACAGTCAGTCAAATCAGGGTTCTGGAGGGAGTGAGGTGGAAAGGCAGAAGGTGGTAAGAAGGGGGATGCGTAGACATTGTGGAAGGGTGATTGATAATGACCAGGTCTGGGATATGGCCAAGATGGCATGGACGATGCTGGTCAGGGACCCGAGAAGCAGGGTTCTGGAAGCACCATCTCTGCCAAGACTAAAGACAGGGCTAGTGTTGAAGACAGTGGTGGTGAGCTGGGAGCTCAGCTCTGAGACACAAGAGCAGTGGTTTGACCAATAGATGGACAGCAGCAGGGGATGGTGAGTGGTGTTGTTTGATGACATGAGATCCAAAACTGAGGTCTGAAACAGCACTGAGGACCAAAAAAGATCCCACCTCACCTTGTCCTTTGGGAGAGCTAGGTTTCCTTTAGAGCAAGAAGAAGGCTGAGGCCATCATGGGTTCTGCTGACGATGAACTGGGAATTCCAAAAGGCGTGATTGAGAAGTTTCGGGAGTTGGGGAGAAGCCTGAGGTAGGACTTGGAGTGTGGGAGAAGGCCAGTGGCCTTGAGGCACTATGAAATTCTCCTGTGGCCTTGGAGCAGAGTGCTGTGACAGTGGCAGGCTGGCCATGAGTGTGGGGAGTCAGTGTCTGTGTGTCCCTATAGGACACTACTCTTGTTGTACACATGCTGGAGGGTCGAAGCAAGGTTAGCACCTGTGGGTCTCTGACCCCCCCCTTGACTGATCCCTTCACTTGTCCCCACCCTGTTTTAGAGTCACTCCTTGGCCTCACCTTCTCCTAGGGCTCTGAGCTCCCAAGGGCAGGCAGGGTGGCTGTTGTGCTTACCACTGTAGTCCCTGAGACCTGCACACCGCCTGTGTCTCCTCAGCAGCTGTGGGATGAATGAACGACCCAGCGCATGCTGCGTGAAGGGCAAGGATGACTCACTGAAGGAGCCCTTTCCGCAGTGGTTTCCCAAGACATGCAACTGCAGTAAATCTAATTTGTCGGAATAATTTTACTGATGTCAGCATCTGTTAATGTGTATTTCCTTGTAAAACTGAGTGTGTATTTCCTTGTAAAAGTGAGTGGAAAACAGGCAGTTGGTAAGGTACACAGGTTTTCTTTAGCCTAATAATGAATACTATTAAAACTGCACAGGGGGAAGGCTGTAAGGGAAACCCCAAGATGTCCTCCAGGCATGAAAAGAGTGTGCCTTGCCTGAAGTCAACAGCCTGAGGGGTATCGAATGCAGGCCTTGCACCCCAAAGCTCATCCATGATTCAGTAAATACAAGATCAGCTTTCAGACAACAGGTTTTAAACTCTTAGAACCAGCTAAATGTTTTTCGTAATGGAGACGCGTGCTTAAGTGCGACACGTTTCTTCTCTTTAATGTACTTTTGATCTTGAGATACGCTGACACAGGGAGAGGGGAGACTTGTCCTTGCTGGGTATACATGGAGAACACTTGAGGCAGTTGCTCATTCAGTAGTGAGTGAGTGAGCTCACGTAGAAAGTCGCAGTTCTTGAGAGAGCCTGAACGTCTGGATGTCTCCTATGTGTACAAGATAGAGTAACCCAGTGATTCTCAGAGCCTTAGGCAGTTTAAAGGTGTTTTTTAAAAATTAACAACGTATGCACATCTTTTCCTGATGGTGTATATTTTCTTTTCAAGGATGAAGAATGTTCCATCATATTGTGATTAACCGGTTTTGATGGAAATTTAACTTATTTTCCAGATTTTCACTATTATAACTGTTGTAATGAATTGAAAACTTAATCACTTTAGTCCATTAAATACATGGGACAACAGAAAGATAAAAATATTAAATATCAAATATTCAGAGTTCAATGTTCGACTAGAATGGTCTGTTAACATTACAAGTTTTAAATTCTCTTCTGTTCGCAGTGGAGAGGGAGGCAGATAGGCAGAAGTGTCTCCCTGCTTGCAAACCCCGTAGACTGCAAGGCTCCCATGAGGACAGTTTGCAGACAGTTTGACGGTCTGAACAAGGCTCTCTCTCTGCTCTTGGACTAGGTTTCTGATCTGCTCCTGTCACACCTGTTCTCAGATGTTCTCTTTTGTCAACTTTAAGACAAAGATTTCTCTTTTGTTATTTTTTACAGTTTATTAAAAAAAATTGCCAGCTAATCAGAAGGCTTCTCTGTAAGAAATCTATTAATTATGATTAGATTTCTTCCCAGAGATCCCTCCTAGGTTTCTTGCTCTCAGTCCACCCTGGTTAAAGAGATTTACACATTTTTACCCTTTCATTGTATTGGAATTATTTGCTAGGAATTGATGTTTAAATCCCAAGTTTAAAAATACGTGGTACAAATTCTTGAAGGTCTAAGTATTTTATATTTCGTACTTAATTTTAAAAACATTGTCTTTATGGGGCTGGCCCAGAGGCATAGGGGTTAAGTTTGGCGCGCTCCGCTTTGGCGGCCTGGGTTCGTGGGTTTGGATCCTGCACGTGGACCTACACCACTCATCGAGCCATGTTGTGGCGGCATCCCACATACACAATAGAGGAAGGTGGGCACAGATGTTAGCTGAGGGCCAATCTTCCTCAGCCAAAAAAAAAAGAGAAAGATTGGCAATAGATCTTAGCTCAGGGCCAATCCTCCTCACCAAAAAAAAAAAAGTCTTTATATTGTTTAATATGTAGTTTTTTTCTTCCTCACTTTCATTATCATCTTTTGAGGTCAAGGATACTCTAGTTTTTTCTTTCTCTACTTCAGAATCTAATATTTTGCTTTAAGTATGTAATTGATATACCCCAGTGCCTTTTAGCTAGCTGCATAGATTTGGGGGCTGGATCCTATTTTATATAAAGTCTTACGATTGACTCACTTTCATTTTGAAATTTTGACTCACTGGATTAGACTCTCAAGAGAGGGATGGACTTCTGCCGTTTTTACATTTTATCAAGTAAGTTTCTTTCAGTCACACTTTGCCTTTGATCAAGTAGTGGCACAGTCCCATACATACACACTACCAGTTTAAATTGGACCTGTGGAAGTATGACATTAATTACAAGGCTTAATGAACAGAATTCCTTGAGTAATCATAGTAAATAAAACATAGTTTATCTTAGCACTCTAATTTAGAGTAATTTTGATTGACTTTTAAGCTATATCATTTCTATATTTCTCATTTATCAGAAATTTCTTAAATTAAAAATATCTATGTTATACCACTATGTTATTCTTGCCGTGTCGTCATGTGGTTGTTCCTCTGTGCGTGTCTATGTCCTAATCTTCTCTTCTTATAAGGACACCAGTCAGATTCGATCAGGGCCCACCCACATGACCTCATTTTACCTTAATTACTTCTTCTTTAAAGGCCCCATCTCCAAATACAGTCACGTTCTGAGGTACTAGGGGTTAGGACTTCAGCATATGAATTTGGGAGGGGCTACAGTTCAGCCCTTAACACCTGACAATCTGAGAGCTTACTAGATCCATCTGGCAGCACATTTTAATGAAAGATACAGCCTATCACCGTATAGCAGTCACCACTCACGTGGTGATTTTTTTTCTCCCCCCAAATCAAGATCAGTATAACATATATGTTTTAAATAGCTTAAACATACCGGATTTAGCCCCAGGGTGTGAAACTAACATCTGGCTTCTTCCCTGTTATATAAAATGTCTGTTTTAAAATTGTTTGTTTCCTTGTTCTTCTGGTAGATCAATGGGAATTCTGCTTGTTGAAAAACAAAAAACAAAACAAAAACAAACTAAAAGTCTTGGCATAGTGGGTTGTTCTTTGTAACAGTACCAAGGGTGTGTGTATTTTCCTTTCTCTGCCTGCTTCACTTGCTCCTTCCCTCTCTCCCTCCCTCTCGTTCATGATGCTGGAGGATTTAGATATAAATTTGTATTTGATTGGAGTCAGGAAACATAACTGGGATTAGAAGCTTGGATAACCTGGATATGGATGTGGAATACAAAATCAGTCTTTTATTTTAGAGGAATAATATCTTCTTTTGTTGCAAAATATTTTAATTCTAAATAGGTATTCACTGTTGAAATTGAGGCTTCTGCTTGTAGTTTTGTATGCTGAAGACCAAAGTTGTATTCTTCCCTTTCCCTTTATGGAATTGTAAAAATATTAAGCACTTAGCTTAAATGTGAACTTAACATATTATATGTGTTGTACCCATAGTCTGTATTTTATATTAAACTTAATATACTCCTCTGCCGGTGGGTTTGGATGTGAAATAAAGCATGTTTGTAATGAAAGGTGTTTTTCCCGCAGTGCCCTTGCTGCCAGTCCCGAGCCAGCCAAGACCTGCTGTAGGACCCCAGAGATTCCCAGTGAGTAGCAGCTGTTCCTTCCACTCTGATAGGGATGAGCATACATTTACTAAGAAATATTAATATAGCAAATACGAGTGGTTCCAGCTAAGTATAAGTTTAAGGATTTGTAAATATTGACAGTAATTTTTGCAGTGGAAAATGTTTGTGAAAAGCTTAAGGTCAATGGATTTTTGAGAATGGAATTAATTTTGTTTAACTGTAAAATTGTTGAATCAGGATCATCAGTAGAATGCCTTTCGTCTTAAAGAATATGAATTTTGATTTTATTATTGCCTTATGTTAAATGAGAAAGAGCCTTTATTATAGTGTGTGTGTGTGCGTGGGGGGGGGCCCACGTGCGTCTGTGTACGTGTGGGTGTGTGTATGAAATTCTAGGGAATGGTAATGAGACCTCTACTTGTTTTAAAAAACCCTCAAAGGTCTTAATGAGTCATTGATTTTATATTTTAAAATTAGTTCACACATTCTCTCTCTCTACCTCCACACACACTTTCCTGTATTTTCCATAAGTTTATCTATTCTTCTAACATGTTTTAACTAGAAGAAAAATGTCTATTAAATTGTTGTAGCTGTTTAAGTTTTATTTGAGTTTTTGGTTCAATTTGTAGTTAGTTCCTGGTTTTGTTAAATCAGTGAGGACATGTTCTTTCGAAAAACAATGTTGAAAAAATGGACCAGACTATAAAATTTTATTTCATTTTTATATAAAACAGATGCAGTTTTGTTTAGGCTAAACAATCTGGTGTTCAGGAAATACCTAAATGACCTATTTGACTCTAGCTTTGATACTTCATTAGATACCATATTTATGTATTGCATTTAGCCAAAAAGGTTTTAATGAAGGATTTAGATGTATAGTCAAGATGATTATTCCAAAATAAAATCGGTATTAGATTTAAGGTTCAGATTATTTTTTAGAAACTTCTTTGATTTGTAGTTATTATTTATAAATTATGATATGGTTTCTAAAATGGATTCATATTGGTTCTACCGGTTTTTTTTAATTAGATGATATTTATTGAGTATAATTCTCTATTTGAAGCACTTGTCTAAATAGCTAAGATTTATTAATTGCATTACCCAAGGATAAGCATGTATGATTTTAGTCATTAGGTACTTTTCTTCTGGTGAAGTAGTTTAACTGCTAGTTATTGTAGAGCACTACCATTTTAAGTACTTTTGCTCTTTCTCAAGATTGTGAGTGTTTGTGTTAAAATCATTATTGGACTTGTTCTTATGCTTTTTTGCAATATAGGGATAAAACTTGATGTAAAAAAGCAGTTGTAGTTTAAGAAAAACATAAAGCAATGTTGTATGTGATCGATATTTTTATAAAACTGTGTTTATGAATATAAAATTAGAATAATCATTTGCAATTTTCATCTACTTGTACATTTTTGTGTTGTGCAAATATAAATTGTATCTGACACTAGAAGAAGCACACTTCACAATACTTGAAGATATTATAAGAGGATAATAAAAGAAAATTTCTTTGTGAGAAATTGAGCTTATTTTTAAGTTATATAGTACTTGGAGGGTAGTAAATACTGTTGAACCGCTTTTGAAAAAGTTTCTGTAAGGCATAATGTTTTGTTTTGTTACTGTTTTTGAGATGGGAAGTGTGTGGGGGTGATAGGAAATAGTTGGGCCAGAAATTAGTCATGTATATACTATGATTTGAGAAATGTTTTCTTCACCTCATTTATTTATGACTGTTTAACATGTATTATATCTTACTTTAAGCCCCAAATACTAGATCTTAAGCAGAAGTTACAGTGAACTTGTAGTCTTGAAAATGCAATGCTCTGCTTATTTCTGTAATGAGTCTCCCTTAGGGAAAATAATCAAATGTGGAATCTATTTTTAAAAAATATGGTAGAGTATTATGTTTTTTAAAAGTCCAATAAAATATTGTTGGGAAGGGAGACTAACTCTAGGCCATCTTCTGTTGTTCTACCTACACTGGATCTTGTTTGGGTAAAATTATTTTTTTCCTTCGCTACTACTAGATTAAACTTTGTTGCTAATCAACGTAAACATAGTTTTGTGAACGTTAGTAAGTTTCTCCTTCGTGCTGAGTGCTCTGCATGCTTCTTGTCTGGACAACTAAACCGTAAAACGGACCAAGCATAGTTAAATGAACCCCAACTTCCGCCCTTAAGCCAGTTTTCACCTGAGTAAATTATAAAAAGTGAAGACGGTATTGTTGTGGCTTAACAAACCTCTTGGAGGTTTCTTACTCCAACCCCTTGGAGATTTCTTACACACAGACAGTGTGCCCTGTGGGCTCTGTCCTGGTACTTTCTAAAAAGGAGGGGTTCAGTCAATATTTGTTAAACTGAATTTTGCTTTGTAAGATGCCTGTACACACACACAAATAAACTGATGAAACATTCAAGTTGGTAAGCCTAATTTCAGATTCATCATAGGATGTATTTGCATTAGTGTACTTCCTTGGCACACAAAAAGATTTGAATTACAGAAATCTATTGAACATAAGTGAAGTTCATTGTGATCTTGTCTTTGCCCAGCCTAAGCCCCTTTAATGAATTCCCGTTGTTCCTAGGATAGGTAATGTTCTTATGGACAGCTTCATATTGCTTACTTGAATCGTGTGAGTACCTCATTCATGTCAGTAGATAAAGTTCTGTCCCAGTCATCCTGTGCTTAGTGGAGCCGACCTGGCCCTGGGCCCTGTGCGCAGAAGGTGCAGATAAATAGTTGTTGAATAAGTGAGCACATGAATTTAATATTGTTATTTTGCTACTTATTAGGAACCCTACATAAAATAAGTAGTGTAGAGAATGGGTATATATTTTAATTTTTTACTTTTTGTTTTCAAGGATACGTATGTGAATTTGCACAGTAGAATTACATCATGTGCATTTAACTATACAAGAATTCAGCTCTACCCCTACTGACTGTAGAGTAAAAAAAACGCAGACAATAGGCAGAAATACCACTAGATTTCCAAATTGTGAAGGAATTAGAATATAGTTGGTATTACTGCTGAGGTGTTCCTTCACTTCCTCAACAATGGCAAACTTTACTTTCTTAAAAGTCCATTTTGTATCATAATTTTATGAAAACTTGAGAAATTCTTAATTTAGAACTCGTAAGCCTAGAAATTGTACTAAATGATAATGCATCCAGTTTTTTAACTAAAAATCACAGAGAACTCTAGGCAACCTAATATGAAACACTATTTTTCATAGAATTATTTAAAAAAATTTAAATCTTAGGCCAAATTTGGTATTCTAGGGTATGCTTGATGTAGCAAAACTAGTGTTTTTATTTCCTATTAATGAATCTTATTTAGAAAATTGAATAAAGTTTTTAAAACAAAGATTTGAATGTCGAAGTAGTAACCGTCATAGGAAAAGGATTCTTATTTTTGATCGTTTTAGAAAATACTGCGTTAGCTCTTGGTGCTGAGCCATCACTTGAGGGTGGTAGTTTTTGCGTCTGGATGGGATTTCCTCCCATATTCCCTTGTTTATGGAATTCAGTGAAGTGCTTTGTAATTTAGGTTTCCATCTAAAAATTCGATTCATGTATTTAATTTTAGTTACAGATATAGCTGTTAGGGCTCAATTCTAAAATGTCTCTTTTCACTCAAACTTTTGTTTCCACAACTATTTTATTTTTTCAAATCAGAGTTTTGAATTCTTTTTGGAAATATATCTCAGTTGATAGTATATCAGAGAAAGGGTCTTTTTCATATCAGAATATTAATCTGCCAAATGAAAAATATATCTCCATTATTTCAATAGTGAGTACTTAAGAGAGCTGGTTGGACAGGAAGTAAGCACATGCCCACAGGAGTTTGAGGTGCTGAGTGACTATCCCTCCTCCATTTCAGCTCCCTTTGTTCTGTCCAGTCTTGCTATCTAGCCACCTGCCACCCCCCAGTCCACTCATGAAATGTCTTCGTTCACATCAGGACCTTTGAATGTAATTTCACGGAACAGTTGTGGTTTTCTTTTTTGGTTTGTTGTAGAAGAGTGGGGATGGGGAGGCTAGTTTACCCTTCTGCAAGTAAGCTTCTATCTTTGTGTCTATTTGAATTCTATTTTATTTTATTTTATTTATTTTTTTTGTGAGGAAGATCAGCCCTGTGCTAACATCTGCCAATCCTCCTCTTTTTGCTGAGGAAGACTGGCCCTGGGCTAACATCCGTGCCCATCTTTCTCCTCTTTATATGGGACGCCGCCACAGCATGGCTTGCCAAGCGGTGCGTCGGTGCGCGCTCGGGATCCGAACCGGCGAACCCCAGGCTGCTGCAGCGGAGCACGTGCACTTAACCACTTGTGCCACCGGGCCGGCCCATGAATTCGATTTTAAATTGAAATGTTCTTTCTTGTACACATTGATTAGTCTGATAGGTTTCTTTTTCCACAAAGGCTCTCCCTGATGTTTTTGTCATTAATACAAAGTTTTAAGTCCTTTCCTTATCGTAAGTATATTTTCCAGTTATGTATTTGTCCTCAAAGAGATGTTTATTGTTTTTAAAGTTTGCCCACTTAAAAAAAAAAGTAAAACTAAAATGTTGATTAGTAATACTTTAAAGTGTTGCTTTGAGATTTTGCTAAATAACCTAATTTGTTTTTGGTGTCAGTGCAGTTGCTGTTTTTAAGCATATGGGTAAATCCCAAGTAACTCACATTGTAAAGATTCTTGAACCATGGTAATTTAAAACCCATTCATTCATGATTTTGCGCTGCTGCGTCAGGTAAATGCTGGTATTTCAGGGTAGCCAGTTAAATGCTAAGTAGTTTGGCTGCTGAATAATTCGTGATCTTTGTTTAAATTAAAACTAAAAATTATCTTTAAAAATGCTACTATAGTTTTGAGTTTAAATTAGTCTTCTTAGCGATTACCTTACTTTAGATAGACCCGATAACTGAGGTTTCCATTTGCATTTGCTGTGTAGTTACAGCACTTCACAGGTAGATCTGACTGCATTCTGTTTCCATGTAACGGGGTGCATGGTATCA